ACATTCTTCTGCACATCTTATTTCAACACTGTCAGTGATTTCGGTGATCTTACAACTTGACAAATTGGAGTGTTTCTTAAAGCTTTTTCCTTCAGCAACCAATGGAGATCTCGCACATCGCTTCACATTCGAATTTAGTCTGCTCGAAGTTTGGCATTTCTCTCGAAATTCATTCACCTGACGATCTAGTGTCAACAAATGGCGTTCACAATTCCTACAAATCAAACCCTCAATCACCTCTACTTCGCCATATTTCGACAACAACAACTTCAAGTTATGTTTCCCGGTACCTTCGTGGATTTTTTTTGTTCGTGTCCCCACTGTACTACAAACAAAACACGCTTGAGATGAATTACTTATCTTGACCGGCGTACATGTCACAGTGGAGGCAGCCATTTTGTTTGTTGCGAAGTAACCATGTGACCATCATGTGACTGTCATCCATTTTGGCCAGAAATCTGACCAAGATGTCGGCCCGTACCTGACCTTGTTTTTCTTTGAGCCCTCAGCGGTGAAAACTTGGGCAGGGAACCAGACTATAATATGCATATCCCGTTGACATAAAATTTGCATACCCAATCAAATATGGACTGTTATACTTCGCTGTAGGGGTATCAGCTTCACACTACTAATCTCTTACTGCTCATACAATTCAATGATATAGAATCGTACTTTTAATCTGATTAAAAGATCTGGCGAATTCTCACAGATATATACGAATATATATATATTTTTTCTTTTATTTATATTTAGTACACAGTGTCGTTACAAAACATTGCATAACAAATAAACACATTTACATATATGTTAATAAACATCACTTATAGTACTTTCATTGAAACCATATTTATAGTAATTGCCACATTTGTACAACGACTAGTCTATAGCTTCCTATCAAGAACACGTGATTAAAGAAAATTCCTTGAATTTACCGGATTTACATGAAAGTAGTAATAAATTATGGTCAATGTTGTGTTTTCTAACATTTCTCAGAAGCCTTCTAATACAATTACGTAATAATGCGTTTCCAAAATAGTTGTTCGATGGTTTGTTTTTCAACACATAATGTGTATTCATTATCTTTTTTAGGACTAAAAATTAGTGAGTGTTTAAAATGCGATGTAGAAATTTCTTCAATTAAAAAAACAGACTTTTCCCATACTTAATATAGGGTACCTCAATTTTGTGTCCATTGTATATATATAATTCATACCCTCAAATTTTGCTTCTGAAAATTAGTTAACTTTGTATTTGAAATTCGATGTACAATTTTCAATTAAAAAAACACAGACTTTTCCATCGCACCGCCGGTTACTTAATATAGGGTACCCCAATTTTGTTACCATGGTAAGTTTAGTCCCTATATATTAGTATATAATACATACCCTTAAATTAGTTCTGTACGAGCATTAGCTGATTGTGAGGGATGAAGTATGAGCTAACTGGTGCCAACCACACCTACAACATACCTACATCCCGAGCTAAAACGCATTAAAAACGCATTGACTGCAGCAATCAGACATAATTTATTTGTAATACAATATTGTAGATTTGTTGATTGATTTGATATTTGTGTTATTATATTGGGGTTTACTCTAACCCTGTATTGTGTACATTTCAAATAGCAATATACATTTTATTCGAGATGCTGTATTGTTCGAGTTGCAGACATCGAGTTATGAAAAGATTGAGTTACGTGAATGACCGCGCCCATATTTCTGAAACCACGCTAAAATTGTAACTCGATGTTCAATTAACCGTTTTTTGTTTTTGTTGAACGTTCAAATTTAGTAACTCGAACTTTAAATTATCAGTTAACCGGACATCGAATTACAAGAAATATATAACGTTAAACAAAACAAACATTCTACGTTGCCCGTAAATCGAAGTTCAGTTAACTGTTTATTGAACATCGAGAATATGATTTGGGCGTGGTTTTGGTGATGTTTTCGTAACTCGATGTTCGTAACTTGATGTTCGTAACTCGAACAATTCGGCATCTCATTTTGTTCAATCATCATTTACCATGTCTACTCATCACATTGGTGATAGTATATACTGATTCGATTTGTTAGATATTCTAATACTTGCACTACTGTATTGGCAGAAATGCCACCACTGCAATGCATACGTGAAATCATACAAGGTCGTTGAATATTATGCAGCTCAAATTACAAGCACGCGAACTTTTTAACTGCAAGTCGACGGGGAAACATAAATATCTGAATATTGTTTTCACCTTTGGCCCCGTTATGACTTTGCTGTCTGGTTGTTCCAATTTACCGTGTTTTATGGCTTCGTATTTATCCACACAGCTGTGGTATGCCATTTCCCCATTGATTCATCTATGACGGTCCTGGCCTTTCAAAGCACTACGTGTTACTTAGGGTGATTTGACTAGAATTTAACGCCTACATATGGCCTGGGTCGAATTGGGTTTAATTGATTATGAATGTTGGCTTGGGGGAATAACAACAACCTAAAGTCGTGGCAAAGTACACTTACTGCTAATATGCGTCACATGGGCTGTTAAACAAATCGACGGTTGTTGTTTATGTTGTTGTCGACGCCGATGTTGTTTCCAAATCTTTGAAAATCTTTCCAGTCATGCCGTTAGTATTATTATCTGTTATTGGATGGCTGCCAAGTTTTAAAACGAGGGTTATGAGGCATGAGTAATGATATTTGACGATATATATAGTTACTGGGTGTATAGTGCTTCGTAATATTGCGTATTTTCTGAACAATGAACCTCAAACGTAAATGGCCGCCAAGATCTCGTTGTGAGCGAGAGAGCCACGAAACTTTGCCACCTCAACTAGTGTTTCCAAATCTCGCGGATTTCTCGGCCATCTAAAATATATTATAATGCTTATGGTCAGTGTGTGCATTCATTCAATCGATTCCTTGATCGCTTTAGATACTGTCCTGAAATGTGTCATGATTCGTATGATATAGCACTGAAGTGATGCATGCATTTTTAATGGATGGTGGTCGTCGCGCCACGCATGTGCTACATTTGTGTAGATAAACATTGATTTTCCCACAATTCATTGCGCACTTCTAGTGGAAATCACAAGTATGAGTCGACCTGGGCGCGACTTGCACCAATTATCGTCGGTGACTTCTTCGATACCTTCGACCGCTTTGTATGAGACCCATATCCCGCGCGTGCGTGGAGCGACGACCGCCGTCGTTTAATATTAATGAACATGGTATTATATTTTATGTTGACGTTGACATTGATACACTCTCCAGTGTGTAACGTTATAGAAATACATTATCAATTGAGGTACAGAAAATAATAAATTTTATTTTTATTTTTTATTTTTCCTTCATTGAGAGGAATATAAGCTTGTCTGGATTTACTAATGTACACAAATCGTTCTGTAAATTATCACATGGTGGGGTGAAATAAAATTGTGTAATACATTTGTCTGTAAAGTTTTCAGTAATTTGGACACATCGAAAGTAAATGTATTTCATTTCAAATCAGCTTACAATCGAATTGACGCAACTCTCTTGTGGAATATTTGCCCCGCCTGTTTCTATACACATGCTACGTGATGAAAACGAGACAATGCTCTTCTATAAATAACATTTGGGATACAGCTTAGACCCATGTGTGGCCAATTCGAGCCCACCCGCGTTCGTGAAACTGTAAACCAATATGTGAGCTTCTAACTATTAAAACGACCTAGATCATTTCCAGGACAGAACTTAGATAAGTTGAGACAGGCACGTATGTGTTAGGTAACAATTGTTACAACAATCTTTATGAAGCTGATAAATATATTGATATAGGTCTGCAATTGTGCAATTTCTCTGAACATTAGTAAATGCTAGTAAAAGTAATTCGAAATTAAATTACATAACCATCTTTCTGTCCCCAGTCGGCATTTCAACTATGAGTGATCACTGAAATCGACATGATTCGTACAGAGACAGTATTCAAATAGTTGTTGCATTACATTATTCATTAAGAAGAGAGCTTAGTATTCGATTTCAAAAATCTAATTTCCGTTGCCAGTACGCTGAGTTACTGTAGTTACTCAGTCGTTCAGTATGTAAATCGCACACATGGTAAATGTTTCAGCGAGAATGAGAATGCATAGAAGATCAAAACTCGCCGGTTTTATTATTGTATAGCAGTTTCTTTACCCCTTCGTATATTTCTCTGGCTCAAGTACAAAAAAATAGTTTATCATTGTACTTATGTTACGCGTTGTTCATTTGTTTTTAACGAGGCATACAACAGCATACTGTTACAGCAATCAGCTCCGTAAAATCGTCTAAATATTATTGCGCCAACATCATTTTTTGTCACCATTCCTGGCATAAATGAGCATAATTGTCCGTATTTTTACAACAATCTTACCTGTGGCCAACTGGAAATAGCCTTTTTTTTAATCGACAAGGAAATGCATAAAATATGCAAAAAGAAAAATAATTATTGCGTAATGGTTTAACTTATTTTCATTGTTCGTAAAACACTGTGCCTGAGATTTCCTTTGATTTTCAGAGCATGTAACGAGTACTTCTCCGTAAATACCATCAGTTTACAGCTGACA